CCTTTTATTTTTCCATTTTATGCTTTGCCTTTAACTACCCATCAAAATCTCGTCTATTCATTTCTTTATAATCTTTCAATGGAAGATGTAATGGAGCGTGCAAATTTAAACCTTCTTTTTACCGGGCTTTAACGGTATATATTGCTTGAAAGTAATTGGGTCCTTTAATTCCATCATGCTCTCATCTCTATATATCTCTTTTGATGGATGATAGTTATTTGAACTTTCTCTTCAGTATTTCAACATATATGGTCTTTTATCAAAAAACTCGGAATCGAGCCGGCTTATACTTCGTTTTGATGCCATGAAATCAATTTTGGCCGTATTGGTTTAAAAGTTTTTGCTTATGTCTAAGCACGAATAGCTAACACTCTTTTAATCTGATCAGAAGGAATTTTATCACAGTATTAAATATATTCAGGTAATCCAGTTTTCAATTAATTGTGGACTTGACATCCCAAAAAATAGATGATATATTAATACAAGTGTATTACAGATTAGCTGTAAAGCCATAGCACAATAAAACCACTGCACTTGTTATAGGATAAGTTAATGGATGTGTCTATTAGTTAAGAACTTGAATCAAAAGACTCCGTAGATTTATCCATATTATTTATGGGATTGATATTATGAATACTTTACATATAAATGAAGTGATTAGTAGCTGGTTGATTACTAAAATAAAGCCACTGTACCGTTAGACTATACATTTTGTAAGTTAAATACATAATAAATTGAACTAGACTTTGTTTAATGTTATTTTATTCATTTTGAATACAAAACCAAATTCGTTTTGTTTTGATTTATTTTTAAAATTTCTCTCCGAGGTTTGCTTTGTGCACGCCCGAACAAAGAATAAAATAAACTTGACATTACCGCTGAATGACATGTATACGGTTACACAAGGGGAGATACCGCATATCATTTTTCATATGTATTCAAAACGTATACATATTTTTCACATATCAAATTTAAAGAGAAAGTTGAACTTACACTGAGAGAAATGTTACACATAAATACTGTTTGAGTAATTCCTTAATTTGTTATATTACGATTCCAAATTTTTCAAATTTCTATTATTCTTTTATTTATTACATACTTTGAAAAATATTATCGGTTTTCTGCAGAACTAGTATTTTATCTTAATATAATATTACAGGCTTTCTATATGTATATATTTTAGATCTCTCTGCAGAAATTTGTCGACCAAATAAATGTTCACTTCGTTTGATATGTTTGTATCAGAAAAATAGTTATTTGTAAAAACTTACTGGCTGTTTATCATTATTTTGCATAAGGTTCAGAATAACATAGATCTATCTTTCTCACACCTTCTGTTTAATCATGTCGCTTCTGTCCATCACACAACATTACTATTATCTCAATCTCATAGCAGAATTCTCTTGATTGCCGAAGATGGACGTATTCAGTTAGTCCTGCTATTTATGTCAAGATCAAACAGTAGTAGGCAAAATAGATTCAATGTTATTGCATTATTTTTGAAAACCTTTAGAAGAGTTCTACGAACCTAAGCGTTGTAAAGGAAAGCGGGTTAAAGAAAAGAAACTGCTCTCTGACAGAGGGTTATAAATATAGATGGAAAGGTTCTACTTTCAAGGTGGGTAACCCTGGATGTGAAAAGATGGAAGAATAATATTATACAACACGCTAGAAATTTAATAGGAAGGAGTTTCTAAATGAAAAATGCTGACAGAAGAAAGAATATTTTGAATGGACAAATATTTGAAATTGCAAATGATGCTACACGGATAAAAATGAAAGATGAATCTGTCTAGATAAAAAATCAGACTGTATCGAAGAAGAAACTGGATATAAAAGATGTTGGATGGAAAAGTATTGTGACGAAAAGGTGTTTTATAAGAATCTTAAATCGTAAAAGGTTCTAAATGTAAGATGGAAAATTACGGCAGATGTTGTCAAATTGGGGAAAATATTAGCAGCAAATTACTATCACACTAACAAAATAAGCTTTCTTCATCTACAGAATTCAGTACTTAATCCTTTTGAATGTCAACATACACTGCGTCTATCGGACCTCTTCAATCGGTGACATCAGGAAGAAGATGAGTGCATGTAGGCATATTATATACATGTTAGTGTTAAACGAGATGTACCAAGACAGCAACTTGTGACACTAGATACCAAACTAATCGGTGCTGTTTCTTACTCGTGCTGCTCGAGAATAGATGATAGTTATGCTATCGTTTGCCCCAGTTTGGTAATATGTCTCTGAGGATATATTGTCTCTAATATACTGAAGACTAATTCACGTGGGCTGTGTGATCCTAATAAAGTGCAAAGCATATGTCAAAAATTAACTCTGGCATGCGTTTATCAAAATATCGAAAGACATCAAATCTTGCAGACAGCAAATTCATAGGAATTTGGTCTTTTTTAGACTTATTTAAGCTCCGTGCAGTTTCATTCAAGATAAGCCTGTTGATTTGGAACCATTTCAAGATGCTGGTATACATGTCAAGTACACAGCAGTACAATAGATCGCGTTATTTATGGAAACCATTGTTGTTGCGTTCAGCGGAGAAATATAACAATCATTCAGAATGTTATCCGGCAGAGTACTTCAATTCAAAAATCATTTTATTTAAACTATGGCGTCGGTACCAGAGCTGAATTATTCTTATAAACTGCTTCAAATGTAAGCCATTGAACAGTAGTAGGTTCTAGTCTATGACAACGTAACAAAATGGACTGAAGTAGTTTGAAAATACAGACTTTGTTTCTGAAAATATATTTATTAGAATTTTCAGAAATGAATGGAAATTGAATAAACTCTAGCTTTTGCTTTTAAAATTCTCATCTAATTGTAAAGCCATTCGTTCCATAGTATTCTTCTATTGTAGAAGTAGGATTCTGCATATTCATTCTGGGTAATACCACACTCTACCTAACTTATTTTTCTGTTAAAAGAATGCGAGTAATTTTCCAGAACACTCCAACTATTTTAAAAAGTTTATTTCAAACTATGTTGAGATGCAATCCGCATAAATACAACGTTTGGCAGCCACAAAAATAGACCAAGTATATCGTATATAGAGTGCAGGTTAAGTAATTATGATGTAATGTTTAGGGTTCTCAGCTTTCATTGTATACATTCTATAGATAATTAAAATACTTAATCGAAACATATAAGTCGACCTAACTAATTTATTCAAGAACATTGGGAGAAATGCCAATAAACAAATAAAATATTAAAGTGTAGATATTGCTTTTTTATCCAAATAAATGTAAACCTGTCAGAGACATTTCTTTTTGCTGTTCTCTTGGAATCATTAAATCGGTTTCAATAAAATCAATAAAGAAAGCTTAATACCAACATTTGTACTATACAAATACGCACAATATGAAGTTGAAACAATACATTTCATAGCATTTGAACTAATATGCACAAAAAGTATACAGTATGAGTTTCAACATAGAAATATTAATTTGTTTATAGTGTGCATAGCTCAACAAGAAACGATCCCTGAAGAACTTAACATAACTTTATCTTAGAAGATCCATTTGAAAATCGCATTTGATGGTAAAGGTGCAATTGATAAGACTAATAAGACCAAATCGCAATAGAAACTAATAATAATCCTACAAAAACTTTGCAAATTAACTGGAAGTAATGTTGATTAACATAATAATAAATATTATAAGTTATTTTATTTCTTGGTTCAGTTAAAAAAAATATAACGAGTATTTTATATTTTATAAATTTAATATTAAATGAAAATTATATGTTAACTTTTTTTTAATCTAACCCAAGAAAAAATAACACGTTGAAAATAGAGCAACGTGAAACGTTGGCATACACGCCAACCCCAACGAGAACTGTCACGAATCATGCGATCCTATTTAAATTTTTAACAACCCTTAGCCCCCTTATCCCCCAGCCACACAATGAGTGGGGAATACGAAATTAGTTATCGATTCGGAAAAGGGTCACGAAAAATCGATAGATACATTCGAGACAAAGCCATAACGATGACGTGAATGTATGTGTGTGATGAATAAACGTTTGTGTTCCCAGTGTGTCTGGATATTTCCACAGTTTCGAAATGGTCCTTTTTGGCAAGGAAACGGGAAATTATTTTTCACTCTGCTTTAGTTATTTTTAGAAATTGCATTTTTTTTGTGTGTCTACTATTTATAATTTAATCACAACGTGTTGATCAAAATTAAATTTGTTTTCTGATTAATTTAAAAAATTCGTTTTGAAATGATAAAAATAACAATTGGTATTATTTTTGTTTGATGAATTTTTCCAATTCAGATTTCAAAATACCTTTTTAAAGTGTTATAATCTTAAACACGTTTCAATTAAGTAGATACTTAAATGATACATGTACGTCTTTTATTTAATTATCTATTAAGTGATCGTATTTTGTGAAAGATTCTTTTTAAAATCAATATCGTACGTATTGATTTCTTTAATATTTATCGAGCGATTCCTTTGAATTTTATCAAGATCTTGATGTTGAAAGTGCAATTTTTTTTTTAGATTTTTTGTAATTAGTTTTAGAATGTATGTAGGATTGTAAAATGTCAAGTTTCTACCCAAATAAACTTTTAAGTGGGTATACTATTTTGTCTCCAAGTAATTTCAATGGCGATCCCGCTGTTCGTAAGTTATTTTTACAACATTTGGCAATGCTCCCAAATTGTATAACTGTCTGGAGACATATCCGAAACTTGAAAAGATGTTAATGCTGAATGCTGATGTGAAAATGCGAATTTCGAAAATACAATTTTTATTTTTTTGGTATTACTTTTTTTATCGTTCATAATCCATTTCATTAATGTTGTTTTATGTTCGTGTTTGTTATTAATATCGGCGAATTACTTACTAACGCGGTTATAAAACCATAAAGTAATTTTCCGATAGTGTTACTTAATTTGTTTGTAATTTTTTTTATTTTCGTAATGAAATGTTTTTAAGCATGTTGTGTAGCGTTTAGTTGGGCTTGTTACAGCACGGACGAACAGATTCTTATCGTGTGGCTACGATTCCAACGAATTACGACGACAACAAAACCGCAGATGGTAGAGTGAAGGTATTTATAAAAGAAACTCTTTTCAGAAAATAAATGTATTGTAACATCTTTTTATTTATAAACTGTACTAACTGGGTGCACATTTCCGAGGATCTTCTATGGTATTACACGCAAATTTTGGTAGATATCTATAAGTTTGTAAATATTTTATGAGTAGATGCGAATTAATATTTTTTTATCAATTCTCAAATGCGTTTTTGTGTGTTAAATCGCTTTTATTTGATGTAGATAGTTTTATTTGTGTTATCATAACTCAACTCATTATTATCAAAGTTTTATTTAAGTTGACAAATCAAGTGACAAATATAATGATGTTTCGTGAAGCATGTCAATTAATTCAAAAAGAGATAATTTACTATCTTGAATATTGCGTAAGTTAGTTATTAAATATAAATTGTGATTATTTGCGATTGTTTAACGTTATGTCACCTGAACAATCATCGATATCAAAAAAGGATAAAGCAAATACTTTAAATCCAAAGCTTATAATAAAAATGTACATATCTAAATATACACCAAAAATTCATTTATTTATTTTGTACTAATTATATTAATATTTGTACAGTCACGGAGGAAACATGTCAAAAAGCCCAGAAAAGCAGATGACCTCGATGACCTCAAACAAGAATTGGACATCGATTATCACAAAATTTCACCCGAAGAACTCTATCAACGGTTTCAAACTCACCCAGAAAATGTAAGTCATACCTAAATTATATAAAAATCGAGATAATAACGATTTAATTAAATTAGGGCCTCAGTCATGCGAAGGCGAAAGAAAATTTGGAACGAGATGGTCCCAATGCGTTAACGCCGCCCAAAACGACACCCGAATGGGTCAAGTTCTGCAAGAATCTCTTCGGTGGTTTCGCCCTGCTGCTGTGGATAGGCGCCTTTCTTTGTTTCATAGCTTATTCGATCCAGGCGAGCACAGAAGATGAACCCTCAGATGATAACCTTTACTTAGGCATTGTATTAGCTGCCGTTGTTATCGTTACAGGTAAAAAGAATCATTAAATTTATCGATTTATAAAACTAACTATAAACTAATAATAAAAATAAGATTCATTTGAAATAATTGGCCTAAATCCAATAAATTTAAAAATATAACGCGATTAATAAAATTAAGACTAATTGATATTTATGTTTATTCTTGTAAATGATGTTATGGGTTAAATATTTAATATTTTTATGCTCATTTAGGGAAGTTAGTTTTGTTTTTTACAACTCTGTTTTAGTTGAGGATATAAATTAACGTTTATTTATTACGGTTGGTTATCGCTTATCATCACGAGTAAAAAGTTTACATTTTCTGAATATAATAAATTATTTCTATACATTTTTTTCATTTTGAAGCAGCAATAATAATATAATAATAGTATATATGGAGAAGACACAGAAAATACTTCTACTCCGAATAAAAAATTTTTTTTGTCAAACGTGCTAAATTATTTATATATTCATTTAGTTTTAGATGATATACAATTTTTATTATAAAAAGAAAACAAGTGAGGTCTATCTGCAAAACCTTGAAAAGTTTGAAAAGTAGTGTATATGTTAGCATTACTTGTTAGGCAATGTGTTTAAGTATAATTTCTGTAGGTAAAGCAGAATATAACAAGAAACACAAACATTTTGATATTTTGTCAATAGTGGATTCCAAGAAGAAGTCGCATCAACGGGTTTACAAAAACAAGAAGTTGAATAAAACGCAGAAGTAAACGAATCAATATTTTTGTACAACTGTATAGAAAAAATAAATTTTTAAAATTAGCAAGTTATTTGCCAAAAGCTGCAGGAAATTATTGTAAGTTTAAATTCATCATCAAATTACATTATCAAATTTAACAAATACAATAAAACTAGTTTTTTTTGTCAAACATTTCAGAAGTCGTTCCTTTCGTTTGCACAAGACTTAAGTTATTTCATACAACCATGATTTTTCAATTTTTGCAAAACTATTAATGGGAAATCAGTGACTTTAATATTCACTTTGAAAGTAACCAAAACGACCTTAAGAGGTTGCTATTACAGTGATAAATTATTCTTCCTTCTTTGTAGTTGTTCTTTTAGTTTCCTTCCATAATTATTGGAAGAGGAAGCAACAAGATAGAAATTCATGTAATTTTCAGATTTTCTTGCCTTCATTTATTATTTCTAGTTATATTACTTTATACATTAGACATTGGTTTTATTACAGTAGGTGGTCCTCAATAAAAATACATACTTGGTATAACGTAAAGTTTTAATCTGACACGTGACTGATCCAGTTATTGATTATGGCACTGCCCAGGTTGTCTAATGTGTTAGATGGTTCTTTCAATTACTTTCAAACTCTTGGATTTACTCCTTTACATGGGTCTCTATACATACCTCTAAATTACAGAAATAACACAATTTTGAATTAATAAGAGCAAAATTTTGATTCCATATTTTACAGGATTAGCAAATATTCAACGAATAAACGTCCCCACAACGCTTTCAATTCTTTATGAATTTGTCAAATACATCTTGTATTGTTGTGAGGCTGTCTTTTTGAGTATTTTATTTATCAAATATTTAGGGCGTTACTGATAATTATGCTTATTTCAAAAATATAAAAATAATGAAATCTTACGAAACCAGACTAAAATCCTTCTACATTTCAACATTTTATAGAATATGATCTTATTTTCGTAACAATATAATATCTCAACTGTTTTGGGATTCAATTTTGCTCCATTCTTCATGAATAACTATTTTAAGGTCTTGTATTGACGTAAATGCAAATGTTTGACACGATTCAAATCCAGTGATTTGTAGTTCTTAATTATTTTTGGGAACATTTCCAATTAAGTAACTTTTATTAATATCAACACTATGTTTGGAATTAATATTCTATTTAAATAAATTAACTTTTGGCATCCCCATTTTATATTTCGCACCTTGTCACACATTTGTATACAATGTATTCGACTTATAAAGTGCTATGTATTGAAGAAAATGTTGACCTTTAAGATACCTTTCATACCACAAATTGTATGCCAAAAATGATTAGATGGTTCTTGCGGGAAGAATAGTACAAGTAATCTATAAAGACTTTATTAATAACGCTAAAAACATAAAATTACGAATATTTATTATATTTTTCGATGTAAGGAGAAAGCCAGAAGCTGCCATGAAAGAAAATAGGGAACCACTAGGAATTACAAAAGAAAGGAACGAACTTCAATTATGAATCGTGTTAACAATATTATACACAACAGGCCAAAGATAAGATACTTACCATCGGAATTTATAAATCAATCCATTAAGTATTTTATAAATTTGAAATTCTAATTGGTTGGAAACTTGTTTTATAATCGCACGTGTCAAATAATGCATTCATATTTCAGTAGGTTAATTTGCAATATTTGATAGGTGCGAATGAAATTTCGAGTTTTAAACTAGTTAGAAACTGTTAAACAGCGAACAAGTTAGTCTTTAACATTAATTCACGTTCTTTTGAATAAGTTGCAAGGAAGGAATCATGATATTTTGATGGTGACTTATACATACAACGACTATTGATGAATAATGTCGCAAAACAAAAACCAACAGATATATTCGATGGACTTGTAAAAAGGAATTTTGATATCAGATTTGCTTGACGCAAAATGTCAAGTCAATCTTGCTACACAAAGACAAACTTCTTTATGTTAGTGGAAGTTTACGTTTACTTAGTCATCATACTTTAGTATGTAATCGTAAATCGGATTATTCCTAATCAAGCTTAACTTAAAAGAGACACGATTTGAGGGAAATTTTGGAACATTTCTCTGGTGTATTATTTTCTGATTAAAATTTGTTGGTGAATTAGGCAGTCAGTGTAATGTAAATTTCGAAAATAACCATGAAAATATTCATTTATGTTAATCAATATGACAATGTTATTGTTGTTGTGATTACGTAACATCATCTTTCTTTGCTTCTTTCTTTTTTCTCTCTTTTCATTCTTCATGAAAATGATGTTTTGAAAATTTGTTGTTTAAAATGTGAGAAGGAGGAATTTTTCGTTTTCTTTATTCCAGGAGTTCTTATGAGTCATCATTGTGTTTGCGTCTCTAGTCATCAGTCAGATTTATTTCATCTAATCAATTAAGTATTTCAATTATTCAAATTTAAAATGACGTCGAAGTATTTTTATAATGATAGAGGATAGTGAAGTGTATTTATTTTTCATTTACTCTATTACTTACCGACCAGAGTTTATTTTTTCTTCTTTTTTTTTATCTAAAATTTCAGGTATTTACCTATAAAAAACATCTTATAAGAGTTTATTTTCCTAAGATTCTAAGTTTCTTTTTTATTTTCTGTTGTGGTGTGTCTTATATGAGCACTCTTTCTATTTTATCTTATTTTCTCGTTTCTTGTGTGCTGTTTGCCAAAAATTTCCAAAAGTACAATTTTCCGTGGGTTTTTACGTAATTTTCCTGTTTATTAAAGTACTTAATATTTCTCTGTCTCTTTCCTAATTGACGCTAACATTCTGATAATAAAAGTAATTGAACTTTTAAACATATTTTAATTTCATTCAATATAAAGGTCATCTGGAGAGCAACCCAATTACTATAATTTTCGTGAGTTTCGCCCAAGTTTTAAGTTATGAAGCACACAAGTATTACGCAATTTGACGGCGTGCCAGACTTTAGTTTACCAAAGTTTATAACCTGAATATTGAATTTATTTTTCTCCATGCTTGCTTTCCAATAATGATAACACTCAAATAAGATAAAAATTCTTTGGAATTTCGCGTGGTGGATTTTTGTTGTCTTCTTGTTGCCTCGATTCTGTTTGGGCGCTTGTCAATCTCTTCATTGAGTGTATTTGTTTTAATTGTTATCAGTACTTTGTAGGTCAATATTTCCTGTTATTATTATGCTTCCAGCTAGACATCGGATTTGCCAATCACGCATGTTACTTAATCTCGTTATCTTTGTCATCTTTGCTTTATCGCCAGCTCATATCAATTTCTGCTGCAAATGTCACATATTTCTTATTTCTTTTTTATTTTCATAGTCTTAAATAATGTTTTACTGGTTAAAGATTTTTAAGCCCCAAAACTTAATTTGATGTCTTCGCTGTATGTTCTTAAAGCTTCGGTAATTCTACAATATCATTTATCAAAATTTCACATATTTCTAAAAATCGGGAATACAATATATGAACTGCGTTCCATATTCTTGGCATATCTGTACAGCTTGTGGAAGCAATAAAATGGCGATCTAAAGATCGATCTTTTTCGAGCGCATATCCATTCGGTTACTGTGCCCAAAATAACTCTGTTAAGTTGTACTAAATTCTTGTTGAGTATGTGTAAGACGTATACATAAATTTTTTAATTATAACGCTGCGTTATTTTAGTTTAAAATTTATCTACCATCACTCCCACTATTTTACAAAAGAATTAATAATGTTAAACAATACATGAAGGGATTTTGAATCTAGTCGAATATTTTCTTAAATAATTTGAAAGAAAAAATATGAGTTTCTTACTAATTTATGTATCTTTCCAGGTATTTTCTCGTATTATCAAGAAAGTAAGAGTTCAAAAATTATGGAATCCTTCAAGAACATGGTACCACAATTCGCGACCGTTTTAAGAGAAGGTGAAAAGTTAACGTTAAGGGCCGAAGATTTGGTATTAGGTGATGTAGTAGAAGTAAAATTTGGAGACAGGATACCGGCCGATATCCGTATCATCGAGTCCCGAGGTTTCAAGGTCGACAACAGCTCGCTCACTGGTGAATCTGAACCACAAAGTCGTAGCCCCGAATTCACGCACGAAAACCCATTGGAGACGAAGAACTTAGCCTTTTTCTCTACGAATGCCGTCGAAGGAACTGCCAAAGGTGTCGTGATTAGTTGTGGTGATAACACAGTAATGGGTAGAATCGCTGGATTAGCTTCCGGATTGGATACTGGCGAAACTCCGATCGCTAAAGAAATTCACCATTTCATTCAACTTATTACTGGTGTCGCTGTATTTCTTGGAGTAACCTTCTTCGTTATTGCTTTTATTTTGGGTTATCATTGGTTGGATGCTGTAATCTTTTTGATTGGTATTATCGTCGCCAACGTACCCGAAGGTTTATTGGCTACCGTAACTGTGTGTCTTACGTTAACTGCTAAGAGAATGGCCTCAAAGAACTGTTTGGTTAAGAATTTAGAAGCTGTAGAAACATTGGGATCGACAAGTACCATTTGTTCTGATAAGACCGGTACATTGACACAGAATAGGATGACTGTTGCTCACATGTGGTTTGATAATCAAATTATTGAAGCTGATACCACTGAAAATCAATCTGGCGTACAATACGATAGAACAAGTCCAGGATTTAAAGCTCTTTCGCGGATCGCAACATTATGTAACAGAGCTGAATTTAAGGGTGGTCAAGACGGTGTACCAATTTTGAAGAGAGAAGTCAATGGAGATGCTTCAGAAGCAGCACTTTTGAAATGTATGGAAATCGCTTTAGGTAACGTTATGAATATCAGAAGGAAAAACAAGAAGGTTTGCGAAATTCCGTTCAACTCGACGAATAAATTTCAAGTGTCCATTCACGAAAACGAAGATACGAATGATCCTAGACACATCTTGGTGATGAAGGGAGCTCCTGAAAGGATTTTGGAGAAATGTAGCACCATCTTTATCTGCGGAAAAGAAAAAGTCCTCGACGACGAAATGAAGGAAGCTTTCAATAACGCTTATTTGGAATTGGGAGGTTTAGGTGAACGTGTGTTAGGATTTTGCGATATGATGTTACCAACTGATAAATTCCCAATGGGTTTCAAGTTCAATTCAGACGATCCCAATTTCCCATTAGAAGGATTTAGATTTGTTGGTCTTATGTCTATGATTGATCCACCAAGAGCTGCTGTACCTGATGCTGTAGCTAAATGTAGAAGCGCTGGTATTAAGGTAAATTTTTTTTTTTTAATTAATTATACACTAAGACCTCGTTTAGCGTGGTAGATGCGTTCCTGAAGATAGGGAGCAGCCAAAAATAAATAAATTTTACTTTAATTTTAAACTGTAATACTAGTAATTTACATTTTACATAATGTTTTATATAACAAACATTTGCACAAGTACATATAAAGTTTATATTTGTGATGAAGGACCTGGCTCTTCTGATATTGTTGATTTTTTGGAGAAGATATCGTCTAGAGTCATTTATTGCTTTCTTTTTCTTTCATTAAGCAAAGGTCGGTAGCAGGCGATCGTATCCAAACTTCTCTTCTTGCTTTTGCACTCCTGTCAAAATTTGGATCATTCGCTACAATTTGATCTACAATTTCAGTAATTGTTTCCAAACTTTTTTCAAGAAAATCTAGTAATTTCTTTTGGTTCATCGTCTTCAAAACCACTGTTCTGCCAGTTCCTGAAGGTCGTCGTTGGTAAGGCCATCACCAGAAACCTGCAGTACCTCCTAAATATCCTGCTCATCTTCTAGTCCTGCTGTTTCGACTAGATTGACAATTTGACCAACAATAGGCTCTTCTCGTTGTTAATCCTGGGATACCTCCAACCATATCTTCTTCCACACTCCATTCATGCACTTTTTAGTTAATTCTTGCCAAGCGACGTCCATATTGCCTATGGTATCCAGGATATTATATCTTTCCCAGAATTTTTTCTTTATCTTCTTCACCTCTATTTTATCAATAAGGTGTTGTAATGTACGACGAAGATAATGTGCCTTAAAATTTGCAATAACTCCCTGATCCATTGGCTGAATTAACAACGTAGTGTTGGGTAGTAGGAAAGCAATTTCAAGTGTTTAACTCTGATAGGTTGATGGAATGACTTGATGCTTTATCCAGCAGTAATAGAGCTTTTGGTTCAAAATTATTTAGTTCCCAGTAACGTTTTACAGATGGACAAAAATGTGTGGTAAATCAATTTTTTTTAATAATGTGTCTTAAAATTTGCAATAACTCCCGGATCCATTGGCCGAATTAACGACGTAGTGTTGGGTGGAAGGAAAACTATTTCCACCTGAATGCAAGTATTTAAGTCCGATAGGTTGATGGGATGACTTGGTGCGTTATCTAGCAGTAATAGAGGTGTTGGTTCAAAATTATTTGGTTCAGAGTAATGTTTTACAGATGGACAAAAATGTGAAACCAATTTTGAAAGATTGGGGTACTTGGGGTTTTGGCATGATACACAAGCAGAGGGTTTAATTTTAAATCGCCATTGGCGTTACCACCCAGAAGAAGGGTGAAACGCTCTTTTGCAGCTTTGACACCTGGTGCACTTTGGCATTATGTTTCATCCACGTTGAAAACCAATTCTGGTGGGTAATTTTCTCTTTCAATTATGGCTTTTAGGGTTGCAGGAAAAATTGAAGCGGCAGCAGTATCTGCACTCGCTGCTTCTCGGGTGATTCGAATATTGTGGAGGTTGCTTCTTTTTTTTAAATTATCGAACCAACCTCTTTTTCATTTTGAATTTGATTAAAAATATTTATGGCCTTTTGCATGATGGTTTTTTTTACTTTGATCTTTTGACGCTGATCCAAATGCAAAGACGTTTTTAGCGTTAAACGAGGTCTTACTGTACTAAAAAATTAATTTGGCAAATTTTACACAACGAATTTTCTTTATATTATTAGGTTATTATGGTTACTGGTGATCATCCAATTACTGCCAAAGCCATTGCAAAATCCGTCGGTATCATTTCCGAAGGCAACGAAACAGTAGAAGACATTGCTCAAAGATTGAATATTCCCATTTCGGAAGTGAACAGGAATGATGCCAAAGCTGCAGTTCTTCACGGATCCGATCTCAGGGAACTTAGCTCAGATCAATTGGATGAAGTTTTAAGGAATCACACTGAAATTGTCTTCGCCAGAACGTCTCCACAACAAAAATTGATTATTGTTGAAGGTTGTCAAAGAATGGGTGCTATTGTAGCTGTAACTGGTAAGAAAATAATTTACTTCATTAAATATGGAGTTTAAATCGTAAAATAATTACGTAAAGGTGATGGTGTAAACGATTCTCCCGCTTTGAAGAAAGCCGATATTGGTGTAGCTATGGGTATTGCTGGTTCTGACGTATCTAAACAAGCTGCAGACATGATTCTTTTGGATGATAATTTCGCTTCGATCGTAACAGGTGTTGAAGAGGGCCGTTTAATTTTCGATAATTTGAAGAAATCCATCGCGTACACTTTAACCTCAAACATTCCCGAAATTTCACCTTTCCTTGCCTTTATCCTCTGCGATATTCCATTGCCTCTTGGTACCGTCACTATTCTTTGCATCGATCTTGGAACTGACATGGTAAGTTTTATCATTTTAATTGATTTTAATTTTTTATTTAACTATATCAAAAAAAGGAAATATTTTAAAAAGAATGTTTAAATAAGGCATCATTACCAGATCAAAAGTAATTGAAATTTGATTATTTTGTTTATTATTTTTGGAGCTAGGAATAATTTGATTGTGTATAGGTGCCAGCAATATCATTGGCTTATGAAAAAGCCGAATCAGATATTATGAAACGTCGCCCCAGAGACCCTTTTGGCGATAAATTAGTAAACGAAAGGTACACATAAGTAACGAGAGATACGCTTTCATAAGCATGTATCTTATACCTTTTTTATATATCTTTCTTGCACATGTAGGCTAAACTTAAAAAGTTTAAACGTTTTTATATGACGTTGTTTTGGTGCTCATGAAAATGGTTGTAAGAATAATAATATTAAAAAAAAAAAAATAGGGTTAGTTTAATGTAGTATTTTTTGATAAAAGATTAGTTAATCTGCAATCATTTTTATGAGTAACTATAAATTCATAAAAGTACGTGAATTATAGGTCAGTAAGTTCTAGTTAAAATATTTTGGAAACACAGATAAGTATAAATACACTCTCAAGTTTTCTGCATATATTATACTTATATAATTTATTTTTGTAGGCTACATTACTATCGTTATTTTTTTGATTAATGAGTAGAAATTTTTTAAAAGTTTGCTATTCTTATAATAGTTGATATTTTTAATAATATTTCCGCTTATTTTCTCAACTATCAACTATTTTTAGCTTATCCCTCTTAAAAATGGAAAGGGTTGTTTTAATTAAAAATAATTTAGGTATTTTTTTTAATTAAAATAACGTTTTATATCATGTCCAGATATCTCATTCTCCCCTTATGTAATAATTAATATCACTATAATCGAAATCATGATCGATCTTTTAACGAATTAACAGGTTCCTGCCATTTCATTGGCATATGAAGAAGCTGAATCAGATATTATGAAGAGACCTCCTAGAAATCCTTATATGGATAAACTTGTAAACGATAGGTGCAGTTATAAATCAATTTTTTTAATGAATTTTATTTCTTGATTAACTTTATTTTATTAACTAACAAATATAACAATTTAGAATTAATCTAATGAAAATACTGGTCTGATGCCTAATATGGATATAAATAATTTTGTAATTAACAATTTTTTGTGTAGTATTGGGATTACTTACCTGTTTTAAAAAATTAACTTACACTTGGGTTTTTACACTATTTTTGAACCAACATACACAACAAAATCTAAAAACTTAATATAAAATTACTTAACAGGAATGAAGCCGATCGATTAACATTTTTTAAAATTAATTAAAACTTAGATATAGTGATAGTTTGATGTTTGTGTAGTCTAACACAAGATAAAACATATTATACTACAAACTACAATAACACTTATACACAAATACATACCCCCCAAAATACCTTGCTCGCAAAAATAGAAGAAAAACATACAACGTCCCCTTTTTTGCTTAGCACCGCTGCTCTGACTATAGTTTTAAAAGTTTTTTTTTGTTTTTCTTTTTTGATGTGTAAATTTGAAGTTTAACTCTTGTTTTTACTCGTGTAAACGATAAAAAAACCTCAACGATAAAACACATCAAAAAAAAAAACCTTTTTAATTTATTTTGAACGGTAGATTGAAAAAAAAAATCTAAAGTCAGAAAAACGTAGGCAGTGCTAGCATGTGCTACGTATATTTTTTGGCCGATTATTTTTTAAATCCCCTTAGCCCCCCCGTATCGCCCCCGTCATTGCCATCACATTCGTTTCTTTTAATAACAAAAAAACGAAGGACTTTACAAACAAAATCAATACCAAAAAAGCGTATTCCCTTGCCCTTTAAGTGTCCCTTAGCTTCCGTTTTGACGTGTTATGTTTGTTTGGGCGCGTTTTCAAGCTCCCGGCGATATCCTTGGCATACGAGGAGGCAGAGTCTGATATAATGAAGCGAAGGCCTCGAAACCCTTTCACAGACAAACTGGTCAACGAGAGGTAATGAGCGATGCGAGTCCCGTGTTCTCTATATTTGGTTGGTTGGTTGGTTCGTTTCGTTGATATAAGTATGGTGATGGATCGGACTGTCGCATTCGTGTCTGTCTGACGTGTGCCAATTTTTTTTTTACGGTCATAATGATGATAATGATGCGTGCGAACGACATCTGCTAAAACCGCTTTCATAATAACCCTTCATATCTACTTCACTCCAGCTCTCGATTCATTATTAGTTTTGTTTTAGTTGTTATATATTTTTGTAATCGTTTTTGTATAATCCGGTTTTCTATATCCACTACCTAGCTTGATGTTAGAGATCTTACCCGTCGTTTTGTTACTTCCTTCTCTAATTATTATTTGGTTATGTACAGTTTATACATACACGATATTAACTTAGTGGTAACTTGTATTTTCTTTGTATTGTTCTATTTTTATGTGTAGAAATTACAGATTTAGATTACTACAAAGTAGGTTTATTAGAGCAATGGTTTCTATTTAACACTTTAAATGAATATTGAGAACCAAATTAATTAAATGATCAGTTCCGGCAAAACATTATTAACAAATTGACAGGACGAGATTTAAAACATATTTTGGAGTTAAAGAGACAGAAAGCGAATTCAGCCCGTTACCAATTTATTATACATATATTTTTGTACCAGAATCACAAATTTTTAATTATCGAAGTTTTATCTTATCTGAAAATATACATATTTTTATCATCCAAAGCAAATAAAATATTGTTTCAATGAAAAGACGTGACCTGAAGAAGCACTTTACTTCAATATCCAATTAATATTTTGTATAAATTGATATGGTCCTTTCATTAACTTCATGGACCAAATGGAATGTTTAACAACGTCTCATCCATGCTTAGCTATACTGAAATATGTATTGATTACATTCGTTGTACATCAAAGAATAGCAATGTCAAATTAACTTATTATTTCGCATCATATTTATTGTCTTCTTGTTCCTGGTACATTAAAGTGATACATAATTTTTTAAAAGTTTGAAAGTCTTTATATCATCAAAATTAAGTTAGGGATTTGGGTAAAATTTGAGCAATTACTTCCCTAATTACTTTAATACTGAAAAGCCATGCTTAGCTGCGTATAACTTATTGTCAGTATTAAAAGAACAAAATATTCATAATTGAAAATCGAAATTAAACTCGATTAACACCTACATTAATCGAGTTTAATCTTATTAAAACCACTATTTGAACCAAGTTAAAATGATACAAATAGAAAATTAAATCTCTGAAGTGTCCTAATTGGTTAGTTAGTGTTTGGATTCGTTCTGAATGGGTAAAAAACAAAGCTATTCATCCAGGTAGGATTTAGATTGGTGCCAGAATATAAAATATTCTCTCTTGCATCCAGATAGATAGAAGCATATCACCGTCTCAAAGCGTTTTAGTATTGTGTTAGATTTCATTTACAACTGAGATTCGAAACTTCCATCCTAAATAGTTTTACTTATTTTGAGCAGAACAGAATCATATACATCAAATACGTTTTGTTAAAATTGTCTGTTGTTCGATAACAACTTCACGTATCTCTAAAATGTTGTTCTATTAATTTTACCATTAGAATGTGCAATATTAAGTAATACGGCTAAATTTATTCCACTATGATCTAGAATTTCATTGAAGAATCTGGTAGGCGATCTTCGAATTTCGCTGTTGTTTAAGTATAGCACATTTTGTCAAAAGCACCATCTTTAATCCATAACGATTCCTGATTTCTCAGTTTCATTATCCATATTGTTGGTGCATTCCACAATTCATAGCAGGATAACTAGAGTTGTTCTTGTATGGAATAGAAAGAAAGTGCTATTCATCTAGGTAGAGTTTAGGTTGGTGCCAGAATATAAAATATTCTCTCTTGCATCCAGATAGATAGAAGCATATGACCGTGTCAAAGCGCTTTAGTATTGTGTTAGATTTCATTTACAACTGAGATTCGAAACTTCCATCCTAAATCGTTTTACTTATTTTGAGCAGAACAAAATCATATACATCATATTCGTTTTGTCAAAATTGTGTGTTGTTCGATAGCAATTTCACGTATCTCTAAAATGTTGTTCTTGCTATTAGAATGTGCGAAATTAAATACTAGTACGGCTAAATTTATTCCACTATGATCTAGAATTTTATAGAGAAATCTGGTAGGCGATCTTCGAATTTTGCTGTTGTTTAAGTGTGGCAAATTTTGTTACAAGCACCATCTTTAATCCATAACGATTCCTGATTTCTCAGTTTCATTATCCATATTGTTGGTGCATTCCATAATTTATAGCAGGATAACTAGAGTAGTTCTTGTATGGAATAGAAGGAAAGTGGATTTTGTTATAGTTACACGCAAGATTATGATTTTTATAATATGTAGTGAATTTAATTTTTTATATCTGACAAGACTGCGTTTATGAATTCAGGATTAGGAGAGAAGGTTTAAAGCATTTCTGACATTTGCACAGATAATTTAAGAGAAAACGTTTAGATTTCATGAATTCTTTTCTGTTATGACTGGTTTGTTAACTTTAATATGAATTTTACTGACATTTATGAAAGGTGTAGTTAGTTATTCAACTGTAGAGACAACAAGAGTACAAGAGTAGCACTATTGGACAAAATTTAGTTTATAAATAACATTTTCCACCGTGATATGATTCTTATTATCAATTTTGCTAGCTGCTAAACATTATGGCATTTTGTGCTAATTGGCGTAACCAAGGTAATCCAATTTATTAAATTTACCAAAACCAATCTTACTGAATGTTCCTTTTGCTGTGGATAGGACACGAGCCAAATTCGTTAAGTGTCTCTAACAGAAAATTTTTAGAACCATTTTTTTATTTTATCAAAATTATTGATTAATTATAGAAATATAATTATTTAATTCTAAAACTTATTAAGATATTTCAATCTAATTAAAAAGAAATATAAAACGATAATTTTCGAATTAGAAACTATTGTTCTTTTTGCTTGAAATTGATTAATATATTAACACATCTATTATCAATTACCACTTCAACACTTTGAAACTTTTAAAACCTCAAAAACACATATGTATAAACTGATTATTTTTTATTTTTTAATTTAAGGGAATGTAAGTTTCCCTAAATAATCATAAACAATTTTAATTAAATCTCCATGCATCCGCTTAAGTCATCCTACATTCTACATCGGCTAAAAAACCTCTCATTCAAGATTAGAAACCTCTTACCTCTCGATTAGATTGCTTTCTATAAAAGTTGGCCGCAAAACCGACTTTTTTATAATCCCGCAAAGAAATAATAAAACCCTTTACTCTCTTACACACTAAACTTCTCAACAACAGGAATTTTAACGACTTGCATGACTTTTTCTCACTTTACTAACTGTATGTCTTGCGCCGGCCACTGTATAGGTGCCTGCTATTTCTCTGGCTTACGAAGCTCCGGAGTCCGACATTATGAAGCGCCAACCGCGCGACCCTTATAGGGATAACTTGGTCAACCGAAGGTGGGTCGCGCCCGTATGGTGTCCTTCACCAACTTTATCGCACCACACTACTTAATTTTTTTGTACTGTTAACATTATTTTATTTTATTTTATTTTTTTTTTAGTTTTTTTATTGTCCAATCCGAATGTTGTCCGATTCGTGTTTCAAAACATTTTTTTTAGCACAAATGAAATCACTAAAACTAATTTTAATGAAAAAACACTTTAATCACAGTGTGTTTCACAATGTGTTTTTCGATGTTGTAACTTACACCTTAATAATGAAAAAAAAACCATACAGTGTGTTAATTAATTATTGTACCCGACGTCATCATTCCAAGTATGCAACCAATAACGCGATTTGCGTATTGCAATACGAGTACTGTGATATTGGTTGCATACTTGCAATGATGACGTCGGGTACGATAATTAATTAACACAGTGTACTCAATAAAGAGAAAAATAATGTTATTAGGTTTATCTGATAGGTTTTAGTCTTCTTTATTAAGCAACTATTTATCAATGTAAAATGATATAAAGTTAAGTTTCTTTTAAAATGCATTGATAACAAGGGCTTTAGTTAAAAAGATCTGCTGTCTTTAAATCATAATGCATGATTTAAAAAAAAACTATATAAAATGAGAAGAAATAATTATTCTAAATCATAACCATTTTAGTAGTTTGTCATATTTCACAGTTTTATTTTATATAGGTAAAAGTAGTTTGGTGTGATAAACAGGTAGTGCACCTTAGTTTTTAGGAAGCAACCTGCTGTCTGCTTCTAAGCGAAGTTGCGCCGGCGAAGGCGTCGAGGACTTTTTTTTTTATTAACTTACTAACTTTTTTTTTATTAACTTACTAACTTTTTTTTTTAATTTATAACGATCACTATCAATTTTCACTTGCATCAAATTTTAATTTAATTTCAAAATTTTCTTGCTTGTTACCTGCTTATTTACTAACAATCACATTTTGCCTTCAAATTAGCCTTTTAATTTTGCGTATCACTCACTTAGAAGTTGTACCGCCGGTAGAGAACCGCTCTCTTAGCTTTAGTTTAGTTTTTAACTATAGTTTTAGCCTTAGTTTTTAATTAGCTTTAAAATTATCCGAGTTTTTTATATTAATACATGCATGAAGACGTTCTGCTCATTTAAATTACAGAGTGTTCTAAACGATTCTGATTAACTTAATTAAACTAAATGTACAAACCAAATGTTATAAATTATAAACGATTACATTTCCTAATTGTTTAAAACACTCTGTACACTTTTTTCTAATTTAATTTATTGAGAAATCCTTAGATTTGATGTTATTTTTTTCTTTAATGAATGAAAATTTTATTTTTCTTTAAAAATTAATTAATTTTTCGCACTTTTTCTCTCGATAATCTCTTAATAAGAGATTATCTCTTAAAAATTTTGGTTTTCTAATCCTCCTCTTTGGCTCAAGCGCTCTCCTTTCTTTTTCTCTATTATCTTTCTGATTATCAAGTTTCTTTTTATAATCACCTTCCAAAAAATAAATTTAAACTCCCTAATACAACGTTCACTCGTTTTATCTTTAGTTTAAATAAAAATTTCCCAAAGAGAATGGCTCAAAGGCCTTCAAAATTCAGAAACCTATTAATAGCAGAACTGTCGAAAACGACGCTTTAGATGTCCAAACATAAATGCCCCCCGAATATAGAAAACACGTGTACATATAATGCATGTATTAATGTTGTTTAACTTTGGACTAATGTGTAATAATAAAAAAAAACAGCATGATGTGGTGGATGTTTTGTCGTAAGTATAGAAGAATTATTTTGAACCATTAATTTTTTCATTTATCCCAATTGTTATAGTTAATATTTCTTGATATAGATGGTTCAGGATAATTTTTGTAAATAAATCGTTTCATTTAATATAACAAATAGTGATAGCGATTACGTTTCTTTAGATTAATCTCAATGGCATACGGTCAAATCGGTATGATTCAAGCGGCCGCCGGTTTCTTCGTTTACTTCGTCATCATGGCTGAAAATGGTTTCCTTCCAATGCAACTCTTCGGTATACGTAAACAATGGGATTCAAGGGCAGTTAACGATTTAACCGATTCGTATGGACAAGAATGGGTAAGTTTCCAAAAATGAAATAAAAATAGTTTGTAACTATTTTTCATTCATTAAGTTCATAAAATATTTTGGCACGAAATTTGCTCTTTAACTTTAATCAAATCAAACGGACGGTTCTGAGGAAATGCCAACGTGGAAATAAGCCAAAAAAGATTAAAGTTTTAAAATAATTGTATGTGTATGTTTTAGACATATCGTGACAGAAAGACTTTGGAGTACACCTGCCATACCGCATTCTTCGTTTCCATCGTTGTTGTACAGTGGGCCGATTTGATCATTTGCAAAACGAGACGTAACTCTCTCGTTCATCAAGGCATGAGAAATTGGGCTTTGAACTTTGGTCTCATTTTTGAGACAGCGCTTGCTGCCTTCCTCTCGTACACACCTGGCATGGACAAAGGTCTACGTATGTTCCCACTCAAGTAAGTTTATTGAAAGTTTTTAATCAAAATTCAGAAAAAACAATAAAACGCATAAAACTTGTTTATCTAGTTTTGTTTTCAAAGTGTATGTAAGAACTACACGCAAGCAATTAGAACGTGTTTTGTATTTATGTAATAAAAACCATATCGACATGATCTGCATATGTAATGATTAATGATATATCTTGCATTGTTAAAAACGTATAAATATAACAATGTGTAATTGGACCACGTTATGCATAACTTGACTAAGCGACAAATGAAATAATGTTGAGAAAAACGGAATTTTCGTTTTTATCTCTCTAAAAATATAAGACTTCTCAGAATAGACAGGCTCAAACTATTGAAAATTGTTTCATAATCACAAGCATAGAAGCCGTCTGGTCACTCGTTACGTTTTACGATTATACAGAGTGTTTCTGTAAGGCGTGGCGATAAAATGGTGAGATAAAATGATGACGATTTCCATGTTTCATTTTGTACTTTTAAACTGGTTTTTATTTTATATAAAATTTAACTCTAACCAGTTTCGGCCCTTGGCCATCTTCAGAAACTCTACAAATAGATTAACATCTCTAATCTTATCCATTTTACATACAAGTTTGTTAATATTTCTTTTTGTTTTGTTAAAAAAGATCACGTATCAAAGTCGAAATCAGATTATTGGTTTAGAAGTTTAAAAAGTTGTAAAATGAAATTTAGGGCGAAGTGTTACAAGTTTACAGGTTAAAATTTAAGAACGCTCTTTTTTAACAAAAGAAATATTAAGAAACTTGGGAAAAATTCAAGATTCATCATGTGACTTAAAAATCGACGATTTTTTTTTAATCAATGTAAAATGACCCAAAAAACACGTTAAAAATAAAAAAAAGTGCGGAAAAGTGACTAACACTAGATTAACTTCAGTTATAAAACTTCTATTATATGATAACTAACTTCAGGTTTAAAATGTCAACCTCAATTTTAACATATTTGTAATCTTCATTAAAAATCCTTTAAAATGAGTACAAACACGACATATTTATCTTCAATATTAATGAAGTTATGGTCAACTTCCGGTTAAGAATGTCAACGTCAATTTTGACATATTTGTAATCGTCGTG